TGGCAGGAAACTGGATTTCCTCTGATTCTATTTGTTGCTCGAAATGTAGATTTTAACATAAACTTTTCAGTTGTAGGCAGAGTGTTTGTGCTGTGATAGAAATAATCTATTAATCTTAATATTGTCTTATAAATACATTGTAAACTGTTTCTTTCTTTTAAAAAAAAGCATTTGTAATCTCTCTTTTTTCCTCCAGTTTCTCTACCAAACTCCTGATTCAGTCATTATATTTTTTGTAGGCTGCTATTATTCTTTGACTTCCCACAGCTTTAACATTGTCTATTTATTTCTCTTTGAAAATGTGTTTCCACCTTATCTCTTCAGTGATTGGACTAAGGTTTCCCCTTCCTCTTTGCAGGTCTGACAAAACCTTACAGGACATTGTGTACAAACTGGTTCCGGGCCTCTTCAAAAGTAAGCCAGCTTTCAGCTCTCTGAGCTCCTTTGGATGAGCGCTTTTATTTTGGGACAGAGCTGGATCACAGCAAACGGAAAGGGATGGGAACAGATACATTTGTGTCCAGCTCCTCATGCAGAGAATTTACTCAAAAATCGGATGCAGAAATGGGATAATTGGATGAAAAAGCCTTAAAAAGTGTCAGTCTGATGTTTCTGTGCTTACCTTGTGTTGTTGACACGGCGTCTGAGCACTTCTGAACACTCCGAGGGCTGTATGTTGATTAAAAAAATGGAGCAGTTTTCATTTTCAAACTTGTGATGAAATACAAAAAAGATTTTCAATATTCTGATGGAATTTGTCTTTTGCAAAAGACCAAAACAAGCATTAAAGCAGTTAGGAAAGAGAGCAGCTAACTGATGGATGCACAGGTTTAGCTTGAGAGGATGTATTTTGGATTTTTTTTTAAAAAGATCGGATTTCTAATAGCTTACCTTTGTGACTGTCCTCAGATGAAATGAAGAGGAGAAGAGACTTCTATGCGGAGCACCCTGTAGATGGTGAGTCAGAGGGCATGTTAGTGTTAATAGTAGTTCTCCTTCACACCTGCTTTTTGCCTGCTTACAGTTACTGTTTGTCTTCCCGAAGCTTCAAATGGATCACATGAAGATCGCGGTGAGGTGGCAGATGAGGACAAGAGAATAATTACAGATGATGAGATCATCAGCCTCTCCATTGAGTTCTTTGATCAGAGCAGGTGATCTATCCCCCTCCCCCGGATTTTAATGTTCATGTCTTTGATATGTGGAAAGGTTTACTCATGTCGCCTCGAAAGAAAAACTGCTCCATAAGTGATTAACTTGTTTTCGTTATTAAGAATGTAAAAAAATATGTTTACAGAAGCTAATTATAAATAAAAAAAAACAGTATGTCTTGTATTTGTATATTAAAATCTTCAATTCAGGTCATAATAGTTTGTTCAGCCTTTAACAACCTGACTGCACAACTCAGAGCAAACTTTACTCTGCAGGGAAAATTATTCTGTAACTCACTGCATTTTCACCAGTTATTGTATTTTGGCAACTTTTGATGTAAAAAAAATAATTATAAGTGGAGGCTAACCAATGTATTTTTTTGTGTCCGATCTGCACAGACTGGGAGGTGGAGTGGAGGAAAAGCTGTCAAAAGATCAGGTATTACACACACGCATTAAGCCAGTTTCTTATCGTAATAAAAAAAGAAAAAACTTTGTTCTGTGGCCACATCAGACTGAAATGTAACAGAAAAGTGAGGTCAAAGTGTTTGTGGTAGCTGGCTGCATTATTTATGCAAAACAAAGATTCCTTCCCTTCTTTTAAGGTGGACCAATCACACTGTCTGTAAAAATAAAAAAAAACTTTTTTTTTGCCTCTAAGTGAAGATGCTTTTGTTAAGGTTTTAGAATACAAAATGCTCATTAATAATCTTGTGACACTTATTCTGATCTGCAGGTGGCTAACAAAAGGTATCTGCAGTGTCCAGCGGCCATGACAGTTATGCACCTGAGGAAGTTCCTGCGCAGCAAAATGGACATCCCAAACACCTACCAGGTCAGTCTGTTTTCCAAAAAGTCCCCTTATCCTTATTTCTATTTACCTAATAAATTGTCATCATTATTATTATCATTCAAACTTTTGCAAAAAAATGCATTTTGTCACAAAACTAAACTTAATCTTGCAATTAATTGCCCCCCCCCCATTCACTCCAGGTTGAAGTCATGTATGAAGATGAGCCTCTTAAAGATTACTACACATTAATGGACATAGCATATATCTACACGTGGAGAAGGGTAAGGAAACATTTGATTCATATTGAGTTACATTAAACTCATGATCCTGAATTCTCTATTTCATCATGTTCAGAATAATTAAAATGTATTGAATAAATGTGGTCAATATATCACCATTACAAAGTTGGTTGGAAAACAATTTTAGGATATTAATATTTTTCTTAAAAAAGCAGCCAATTTTTTCCTTTTCTTTTTCTTACAAAACAAATCAATATTTCTAAGTTTAAAAGCATACATTTATTTGAATAAGTGACTTGATTCAAAATGTGATTTAGTTCTATTAAAACCACTTTCCGTGCAGAGTGTGGCGTTTTAAACTGGGGTTGTTGTCAGTTGCTGCAGGGCTCCATGAGCTCAGTTTAGATCGAATTCTTCTCAGCGTTTAAACGATTAGAGTGCTGTTGGAACAAAGATCCAACTTATGTAAGCAGTCAGGTTTTGCTGCTTTTTTGCTGTATGAGGCTTTTCCTTCTAAGGCATCATTTCAGGGGCCACACTCTCGGCAGGACTCTGACCTGCCGTTAAGAGGCATGAAATGACGCAAAAAAATAAAGCTAGTTGAGAAGAAACGACAGAGACTGCGGTCCGAATCGTGTCTCGGTGTTATTCCGTCTTTTCAAATATGTTCTGTCTGAAAAACGGTAGCGTAGCTCACATAGTGCCAGCATGTTGGCGCGAGCTGCTGTTGCTGCTGCTGTTATTTCCCACAGCCTCTCGTGTCATTGACCTACATTTTAATGGCGGCGCGCGTCACAAAGTGGAGCCATTTAGACAGATGCTTTTTAAAGAGACTAGACCTGGGACTGCTGCGTTCAGGTTGGGTGGGAAAATGACTATTTTCTTTTTCTTTAAATGATAAAAAAAAAAGTATTTTTAAAAACGCGTTATGCTTCCTCAGAACGGCCCTTTACCGCTGAAGTACCGGGTACGACCAAACTGTAAGAAGATGAAGGTGAGCAACGCGCAGCAAGAGGGGCAGAACAGCGCGAGCCGGTCCGGGCCGGAGAGCGACTCGGCCAGCGACAAAGCCGGAAGTCCGGCCGGGGCGCCGTCCACCTCCTCGTCGTTGCCCAGCCCCAGCACGCCCGCCCAGTCCCCGCACCACCCGCAGCTTCCACACGGCCCCGAGGGCGTGAACGGGACGGCGACAGCGGCGGCGGCGGCGTCCCAGACCCCCAGCCGGCCATTCGCCCAGTTCGGAGGCGCGAGCGGCGGGAAACCCCGGAAGGTGTCCCTGAACGGCTCGTCGACGTCCTCCGGATGACGCGGGGCTCCGGAGCCCGGGAAGCCAACGCCAGACTACCGCTCAGCTGACCTTGTTTTTACGCCAACGTAGTTCCATTGTGTAGACAATGTTTTTTCTCTCGTCATTCATTGTTCTAAATATTATGGCATCTGTTTGTAAGTTTAAACGTAGTGGAATCGGAGACATTTCATTCAGAGCGCGAGGAACGCGGAAGTCAAGCGACGTTGCTGGAGGTTTTTTGACCAGAGAGAGAGAAAAAGGGAGAAGTTGGAAAGAAGGACAGACATTTACCCCCCCCCCTTTTTTTTTTAAAGAAAAAAAAAGAAAAGCTACGTCTTTATTTTACAGAAGTGACTGAAGGAAAGTGACTTTTACGTTTTTCTGATCTACGTCTTTCCAATTAAACGTGTTTCTCATGTTTCTTTCATGTGTGTTGGGATACTTTGCCGCTCTGTTGGAACATGCATGCTCATGGTGACACTTTATTTTAATTTTAGTTCTGAAAGAGGGTGTTTTGACCCCCCCCAAGTCCCGAAAAGGAGAGACTTTTGGAATCCGGAAAACAGAAGTTTGTATAGTGCCGTTCACTTCAGGGGAGAAGCGAAAACGGAAACTTTGCCTTTTGCTGACTTAAAGTTCTCGTAGCCTCAGTGGAACCGGATCATTGCTCCTCTTTAACCCATTTAGAGAATCCGAGTGTAAATAGAGACAAAATGCATATTTAATCAGCAACGAACTTATTCTCTTATTCCCCTTTTTTTTGTTCTGAGGGAATGGCTTGGGCTCCTGCTCAGCTTCATTTCATGCTCAATGACAGACGTTTTGACTCTCGTCTCTGTTTTCTGTATTTGTATCGCTCGATTGTATGGACAACCTATTGTATTGTTACTGTTGCACAGTATAAAACATCTAAATAAAACATTTTACACTTATGGAGACACCCGCTCCCCTGTTTGCCTTCTTTTTCTCTCTTTTTGGACCACACTCTTATAAAGAGGAACGGGAAAAATAAAGGAGTCATTGAAGTAGACAGACGGTGCGAAGCGCCAGATGTCCGTCTGAGGCTGCAGAAATTCAGATAACCGAGTTAATGTCGGCAGGAACACTGCACAGAGGCTGTGATCAAATCATGTGTCTGAATGTAAGCGGCGTTTATTTGTCCGTCTATCGGATTTAGTTTTGGGGCGTGTGCAGAAGCATTTTTTTGTTGTCTGCTCTGAAATGCAGTGGGGATTAAAACATTCTAAGGATTCGGGCTTTAAAGTCACCAGATTCTTCTTTATCTTACCACATCACAAGTAAAAGCGGCAACAAAAGCATCCTGTTAAGATGGTTTCTGGCTTTCTAAAATTCCAAGCTTGCGAGCAAATTTTGGTACATTTTCTAACAGGCCAGAATAAAAAATAAATATAAAGACGTTTGATCCAAAACGAATCATTCAAAGTGGCCACGACATGGTATATTGTAAATGTGACATAAAATAAACAAATAAAAAAAAAAAATGAAAATACTGATTTTGGTCAATTTCAGGGGCCTCAGCTGAGCAATAAAGAGGAAGATATAATGATATAATATCGGTAAACCCTATTAGATTTAATTAACCAAAAACATGGGTAGGCTAAAAACCAAACATCTTCTCTTCAGTTTACACAGTAGTTTCAAAATTTTAATGAATTCTGTTTCCTTCGTGGACCTGAGAGGGCTCATGTATTTTTTAAAAAGGTTATTTTTTTGCACAATTGACTCTTTGGTCTACGATATTCAAACAGGGTTTCTTTCCACAGCACTTCATTTGAAAACGTTTGGCAGAGGCGTGATTCAAATAAATAAGATCGGGTCCAAATTCTGTCGTTCTGCTGTTTTATTAGAGGCAAAGGTAGAATTAAAGATATTAAGAAGGAAAATCGGTTGGGAATTTTGTTTTTATTTGAATCATAAAATATGAAAAGAAATTAACAAAAAGAAAAACAAATCGCTCTAAAAATAACCGGCCGCGATTTGAATGAGGTTTTGGCTGAGATGTGAGCAAACCTCTGCCAGAGTTCTTTCGGTTGATTATAAGTGGAAGATTTACGGGTTTCTAAGTGACACTATGGGGGACATTTCTGTTTTTCATTCGGAAAATATAATTTATTTTTCACGTACTCCCCCCTCTTCACCGCTCGAAATGTAATTAATAGAAACAAGCTGATCAACAAAAATAATTTTCCATCTCGACCGGCACATCTGAAAGGGTGAAATACCATTACAAAAATATATCAAACTACAGAGATAATGTGCAGGGGGAAAGGATGAGGAAAGTTATGTTGCATATTCCATATTGCCCTCACTTAGAATACGTGAAATGACCACAACGATACGTTTATGGAATAAAGATTTTTTTCTTTTTTTCTTATAACCTACTTCTTTCTGTCATATTCCACCTCATATAGTGGCTAGATCATAATGTTGGCCAGACTTAACAGGCATGTCAATAACTGTTTTATAAAAATGGTTTAGTACGCATCTTTAAATTCTATGACCATTAAATGTTAGAAAGAAGGAAGAAAAGGGCAAATTAAAAAGAGATAAAATAAAAAGAGCTGTCTCCTTTCATTTATAAGAAGCTCTGGCATCGCACCCCTCCTTCGGCGTGTCGCATCTTCAGCCAATGACATGCGTCACTTTCTCACTTGTGTTGTCCTTTGAATTTTGAATCATGTTCATTAAAGACGCTGTAAGTGTGCGACCGGTCCGCAGCGCGCTTTCAGCGGGAGCCACTCCACACAGATCGGGCACACTGTAAAGAGCCCCCACTCTGACCCACTTTCGGGAGATCGTCGACTTTTGCGTGGAGCTGACGGGTGCCGGAACATACAGAGGAGTGAGTCATCTTTTTATCGACCATCTTCGACAGACACAACGGAACATTCGCGCTTCCTGTGTGTTGCCGGGGCAACGACTAACAACAATACCTGCTCAAGCCAGAAGTCCGAGGAGCGTTGCTCTAAACTCGGTGGTCAGAACTTTGTTTGCATCGACTAAAAGTTTAAATACCTCCACCCAGAAGAGGCTTCGTTGTTTTTGTAGCAATGACTCAACGGCAGATCGTTCAAGGTGATATAATTTCGCTGTTTGGCTGCACAACGGGCACGCCTCATCCCGTTTTCTGTCTCACGTCGTTTTGTTTGTCTGTGTGCGTTCTGCAGTTTTTGAGCAGTACCAGAAATCCAGGATGCATTTTGTACAAACTATTGCTGATCTGGCCACCAGACCCCAAAACATCGAAATGCTTCAAAACGCAGGTAAGAGATGGATTAATGGGCATAAAGTGTGCTGGGTGGTTTCAGCATTGACCCTTTCCTCACCTCTGCTGAAGGCGTGATGCCCCTGCTGCGTCCCCTGATGCTGGATGTGGTCCCAAGCATCCAGCAGACGGCGGCTCTGGCTCTGGGCCGCCTGGCAGACATCAACGAGAGCCTGGCGGAGGCCGTGGTGAAGGAGAACATCCTGCCCGAGCTGGTCCAGTCCCTGGCCTCCCAGAATGTGAGCATCCTCCGGATGAAAGCCTTCTTCCAAACAGGTTATCCCCCCTGAACGGGTCACGGCATCCTCTGGAGGATGCCAGGTCTGTGAAAGAGGAATGGAACAGTCAGAGGCTGGCTGTCGTCCTGCTGGACCTCCAGGGTCAAGCCCCCTGGACATAACCGGGTGTATGTGACTCACTGGTCAGCTGGCCTGAGGGCTACTTCAGAGCATTTGAGCTTCTTATCTTAACTGGAGAGCAACGGCACTTTTGTCTCCTCTCTCAGCCTGTTGAGAAGCTCAGACTGGGAGGAGACCAGTCTCACTCCTCTCTGATAAAGGAGGCATGCATTTAAAACCTGAAACTCTAAATTACACACACTTTAATTTACAGTGCTGAGTTAGTTTTGTTTTGGGGGGAAAAACATTTTTTCTGGCCTGACAACCCTCTATTTCTCTCATTCATATGTGTGTGTGTGTGTGTATATATATATATTTACACACAAACACATACATACATACTCAGAATTGTCAACTTAAAGCAAAATAAGAAAAGTGCATCCAAATAATCCAAAAAGAACATGTAATGAAACAACAATATATTAGTTTCATGTTGTAGAAACATAAATCACAAACCCATATTGAATGGAGAACACACTAAATGACATTAGGCCTTTGTACTCATTTCCCAAAATTCTAATTTTGGCAGCAGCTTCTCATACCTTTAATTGCCTGCTGTTTGTTCAAGCTCCTTAAAGCGTGCTCTCGGAGCAAAAAGGGCTTTCTCGTCCTAACTTCAAACTCTGTGCTCTGACACTGGAAAATTGTCTATTCCACTACAAAAAATATGAAATCTTTTGATTGCATTGATTTATCTATACTTCAGGATTGGAGGGTTATGTAGTCCCCTTACATTATCTTCTTATCTTCTGGTGTTTTCCCTTTTTTGTGGGACTAAATCCATCCCCTTTAAACAAACTGGTACACTGCATTCCTAAAGGGTTCAGCTTTCTGTGACTCTGTGCATGTGCTCACACACTAAATTTACTCGGCTGAAACGAGCACCGTTAAAATTCCAAAATTTCTTTTGACGACTGAAACAATTAGTTTCCTCTAAAACGCATGCATTTAAAATATATATGTATTTGTGTCTATATTTTGCGTCAGGAATAATTCTTGATTGTATCCTTTATTTCACAAGTGTCTTATTTTTCATGATCATGTATTGAATTTTACGTGAACTGAAACATTAGAAGTTCTGAACCTGCAGTTCAGGGATGATAGTAATCCTAAAATGAAGAGAGGGAAAATCTTTTCTTTTTAAAAAAAAAAACATCTATGTTTGAGCACATTAACTATTTCAACATATGAAACTTTTAAAAATGTTGTTCTTAATTAGTGGCAAAACTCTACTTTTTCTACCCAGTGGAAAATTTTAGAGCCTGTGAGCTGTTAAATATCTAATGAGACTAAAAAGGGAAATGGAGTTGGAGGGCTCACAGACCAGAGGCAGTTGCTTTAATGGTCTTCTTGTGTGTTTGTGCAGAGGTTCTATAAGAAGGCTGCCGCGTTTGTGCTGCGTGCTGTTGCCAAACACTCCCCTGAGCTGTCCCAGGCTGTGGTGAGCAGTGGGGGGGTGGAGGCTTTAGTTCTCTGCCTGGAGGAGTTTGACCCCGGGGTGAAGGAGGCCGCCGCCTGGGCTCTGGGCTGCGTCGCACGGCACAATGAATGTAAGGAAGCCCGGAAGCCTACTGGCGTACGTGTCTTTTTACCTGAGGGTTTTTTAGATGTGGGAATCCTTCTCCCCCGTGTGCGCGTGCAGCTCTGTCCCAGGCGGTGGTGGACGCGGGAGCCGCCCCCCTGCTGGTGCTGTGCCTCCTGGAGCCGGAGATGGCCCTCAAACGCATCGCGGCCTCCACGCTCAGCGACATCTGCAAACACACGCCCGAGCTGGCCCACAGCGTGGTGGACACCGGCGCCGTGGCACACCTCGCACAGATGATCCTCAGCCGGGACGCCAAACTCAAGGTAGAGGTTTGGGAGCTGTCGAAGCACAGAAAATACCCGTCCCACTTTGTAGCCTCAGGGTTAAGTTAAATTCCTCTACATTCCTCTGAAAATTATTCTTAAGTCTTCATAAAAAGCTCTTAGGAAAATCAAGAGAGGACAATTTACAGATTAATTGGAGAAAAATTATTGAAGTATTCTGACTGATGGCTACTCCAAATTTATTTTCTGTGGAATTTCCTTCCTAGTTATTATCTATATTTATTAATCTCAACTGAGCATTTATTATTATTTCTATAATTTTATTCTGGTTCTGCTTGATGATCTAATCCATTGGATCCATTTATTTTTATTAACAAACTAAAGTATTCTGATTTTCAAAATAGTTTTAAAATGAAATAAAAAAAATCTAAAAAGAAAAACTTAGTTTTAGCAGAAAGTAACAATTTTCCTTCAGAATATTTTGCACTAAACAAATCTTTACATTGTGTTCAGGCTCACATTTGACATCACCAATATTACACAAGAATTTCTGTATTGTTCATAAGTCAGACTCCCCTAATTTCTACATATTTATTTGAGCTAAAGATCTGGCGGCTTGTCTCCCCTTTCAGTTAAAAAAAGATAGTTTTACCCAAAGGTACTGAATAAGAGGATTCTACTGTTTTTTGGTTATGGCATCAAAATCAATATAAAGACTGATTTGATTTTTTTTTTTTTGGGACATGTCATAGAATTTTGCAGAGTCAATTTTAAATTGTATGTCCAGGCCACTGCAACACTTACCACTAGCTTCTTCTAAAACCTGCAATTTTTTTGTGTTTCTAGTTATGAAAATCTCCCAAAAATTACAAAGGTTTAAAGGTAAAATGCAATTCCTAAAGAGTTACCAGCTTAGAAAAAAATAAAAATAAATTCCCAACACATGCATAAGGTGCCGTGTGTCGAAAACACTTTAGGAGGAAAATGAATAAATAAAATGATAGGGGTAAACTAATAAGTTCCTCACCTAAAATAAAAAAGTTACTTATATCTTATTAAATTATTTTTCTACAGAAAAAAAAAGACGAGACATATCAGTCCCTTCAGTTATTTAATTAATACTTCAACAAAACCGAATCTGAAACAGTGTTCATAGAAGAGTGTCTGTGGAGAGGTGATTAAAGTGAGGGAAATAAACAGGGTAAAAAGACATAATATATGGATGTAAATCAGTGGAACCTGAACTTGTGGAGGGATGAATCCTTCATCAGCAGTACTGAGGGAGTGTGGCACCATCCTGGTTTACGGGAACAAAAGGGAGCCCATAACCAATCAGCTTTTGGGTGTCCTTTAAAAAGCCTGGAGAGATACTCCTAAAGACGGTTTCAGCACGTTTAAAACCGTCTCAGACTGCGTTGAAGAGTAAAGCTGCTCAAACCAAAGAATAATCATCCAGCTTGTGAAAAATGTAATTAAGTCAGTTTTAGTGTCCTCCCATTTATGTTTTCACACGTTTTCATTTGAGCGTCTAAAGAAATAAGGAGAGGTTCCACGCTGCCTGCAGCTCACTACATTTCCAGCCCCATTTCACCACGTTTGTTAGCAACTGACACATCTCTAAACCTCCCCCAGAGGCAGGTGTTCTCCGCCCTCAGCCAGATCAGCAAGCACTCGGTCAGCCTGGCGGAGATGGTGGTGGAGGCCGAGGTCTTCCCCGCCGCCGTGGCCTGCCTCCGGGACCCCGACGAGTTCGTCAGGAAAAACGCCGCCACGCTGATGAGGGAGGTGGTGAAACACTCCCCCGAGGTACCGTTGCACTCGCCCGCACCAGGGGTGGAGATAGAGAGAGAGGGAGGGAGGCGCCGGGCGCTGTGGGTGACGCCTCTCCCTGCAGCTCTCCCAGGTGATCGTGAACTGCGGCGGCCTGGCGGCGGTGGTGGACTACCTGGGCGACGGCCACGGCGGCCTGCAGCTGCCGGGGATCATGATGCTGGGATACGTGGCCGCGCACAGCGAGACCCTGGCCATGGCCGTCATTCTCTCCAAGGTGTGTGACGCGGCCGGCCCGCATTTAGCTCGGACCGGAGAGCCTTCGGCGGCATAGGTGGCGCTCACAAAAGCCTGTGCCCCCCCCCCCCTCCCATTGTCCTGCAGGGGGTGCCCCAGCTGGCCCTGTGCCTCTCCGAGGAGTCCGAGCAGCACGTCAAGGCGGCCACGGTTTGGTCCGTGGGCCAAGTGGGACATCACACCCCCGAGCACGCCAAGGCGGTGGCCGCCGCCAACCTGCTGCCCAAGCTGCTGGAGCTCTACATGGACGCCAGCAGCTCAGAGGACCTGCAAGTGAAGGTGTGGGCCCCACGGATTTAAACGATTAAGCTCAAACTTTTTAAAAAGAGGAGGAAAATCGACCTTGAGCAAACTCCCAAATAACACCAGAAAGGGCTGTGAGGTGAAAATGTGAATGCGAAAGTTCGGTGCCACCCGTTTGCTTCCGCTTCGTTTCAGAGTAAGAAGGCCCTGAAGAGCATCCTGCAGAAGTGCACCCACCTGCCGCACCTGGAGCCGCTCCTGTACGATGCTCCCAGCAACATCCTCAAGCACGTCCTCGGCCAGTTCAGCAAGGTGAGCAGCGTTCGGGGGGGGGCCGGGGCCGGGGTTTGCTTCACGGATCTGATCTGAGACTCTTTCTCCCTTCTCCAACGACACCAGGTGCTGCCTCACGACAGCAAGGCCCGCCGCCTGTTCGTCACCAGCGGGGGACTGAAGAAGGTCCAGGAGATCGATGCCGAGCCCGGTTCCGCTCTGAGGGAGCACATCATCGCCATCAACGGCTGTTTCCCTGAAGAGATAGTCAGGTGCGGCCTCCCCTACCCCGAAACTCTGCAGATTAAACTGCGACCGTCCCACGGAAAGACGAAATGTTTCCAGCGAGCTGTGTGTGCTCCCTGTTTCAGGTACTACTCCCCGGGCTACTCGGACGCTTTGCTGGAGCGCCTGGAGAGCTACCAGCCCGCCTGATGCCCCGTCACGCCACAGCCTCCTTCAGCTCTGAACGAAAATCTAAGAAGAAACTCCTGTGTAGTAATAAGCGACATCTGTATCACCTTTAAAAAAAAATCTGTGCTTTCTCTCAAAATCTAAGTTGTAAATCTTTATTGACACATCTAAAGCCAGGCCGGCTTTTCATTAGTTTCCAACCGTCTTTCATGTGATGGGAGGAAAAAAAAAAAGAGAAAAGTTCAAAGGTCAGGTTCAGGGACAGCGCAGCTGGTGGAAAACTTTATCAGGCTGAAAGCTTGTTTGTGGATAAAAAAATAAATAAAAACCAGCCGTTTTCTGGCAGTTGGACCTCAGTGGCGAACTCCTGAGCTCCAATAACGCCATTGGGCTCGTAGAAATGGAGGAAAAAACTCGGCTGACGTCGCCTACCTGAGAGAGAGGCTCCCCTGGCCGGCGGGGCTCCTTCCGCCCCCTGGCGGCGGCGCAGGCGCACTGCGGCTCCGCCGCGGGCGCGTGCGTGCGTGCGGCAGCTGCAGCGCACATGGCGGCCGGGCTCTTTGTTTATTGTCTGCCGGGGCGCCCCTGCTTGTTCCCCACATTATACTGGCGGTGCAAGTGTGCCTGGACTCTTTTACCGCGAAGGAGATCTGAACACGTTACGGCTGCAGCTGCCACCAGCCGCCATTACCCCCCCCACCCCCCAAAAAACTCCCCCCACGACCCCTAAAAAATGATCCATCTGACATTAAATCTGCAGAAGAGACAGAGCACGTCGCTGTCTGCGGTGGATTTGATTTTGGAATTGTTTTTTATATTGATCCAACTGAACCGGTTTTTGTTTTTCACATAACACAATTATTCTTCCGGTCGATTGAGTCGGTATCTAAACGGGTTCCACAGGTCAAAGCTGTCATGAGAAAAAAAAAATCCAACTAACCTAATTCACAATCCGCTTTATTTTCCATCAATCGAACCCGAGCCTGTTACGCAGCTTGTCCCCGGAATAATGATGAGAAATATAAAAAAAAGAATGCCTGTAGCAAAACAAAAGACCCTCCTGTGTGTGGCTGCCTCCAAAATATTTCGTTTAAAGCTAAAAAAACAAAAATAGATAAAAACATGAAATTATTCAAATATTAATTTAGACTGAATTATCAAAAAGCACACAATGCCTTCAAAGTGATCAACGTTTATGTCGCAGTTCTACGACGGTTCCGTACAGTTGGGAGCTTTGTTAAAAACGAAATTTTACGTCATAAGTTCAGACGGTGAAGGAGGTCACTGAACGCACCTGCGAGGCCAACGTCAGAGCATTTAACCCAACGAAAGACGCGCGTGCTCATTCCTACAGCTGGATAATTAGAAAGCTAAGAAAGAAGCACTGCCGGATTTGTTAAAAATGTTTGAAGACATAAAGCTCCACTGGCGAAAAAAACAAACAACCTTTCCCCTAAACCACCTTTGAGAGACGTGACAGTTAAACCTCGCATTTTATGTCGCGTAAACGCATGACACAAAATCACCTGCTTCCAGCCTCGCAGTTGACTCGAAACGAGGGTAACCTCTAAAGGCCTGTCCACAAAGAACATGGAGCTAAAAACCGTAAGGACGACCACGGGGGAACTCTTAGTCACGGTCACCGAGACGGAACTAAAGTCACTGGGCTGATTTTGGACACTTTTCGGCCACTGCGGTCAAAAGAAAAAGATAAGAAAAAATCCTATATATCCGATATTTTAACAATAATTCTGCATAACGAGTCATACTGAATTTAACTGCGGAAATGAGTTTATGTGTATGAATACAAAATTAATTTCTTTAAATATACAAACAGACATATACTAAACAAATGAGAATGTAACTGGTGTATCATCTAAATTTGAACCACAAAGAAACAAAAAACATAACAAAACACACATTCCAGTTAATTTTAAGCAGAACAAGTGCTTTAATTGGTCTGAGTGAACGCTTATGGAATGGAGTGTGTTATTATTATTATTATTATCATCATTAAATGTGAAGAACAATAAACAGACAAGATCATTTTGGCCTCTGCCACCGAGGGGAAACACTCACCATCATCAGACAACGGAACACAAGCACGCACACCAACACAGGAGAATGCTCAGAGCACTGTTCTGTGTTTCAGTTGGAATCTAAAAGCACTAAAGGCTGTTTTAGGACCAAAGAGCAGTCGGCAGGTGAGAGGCGCGGCCTCCTGGCTCGCCCTGTGACCACTAGATGATTTCTATGTGCCAATTCAGAAAGAGCTCTGAAAGATCTGGAGGTTTACAGAGTTTGTGGATTTTCCACATTAGAGCCTTAAGGCGGCCTCGCATCTGCAGATAATACCTGGTCTTTGGTCGTTTGCATTGGTAGCCTCATTTTCCTTTAAGCCTGAGAAACCACATCAGTACAGGGCCGTTTCCCATAACTGGACATGTTCACATACGAGCAAAGCACGCCTCACTCCATCTACCACAGAGAAGAAAAGAAAGATAGTTACAAAAGGTCGAACAAAAATCAGAAAACTGACATTATATGAGACACAATGTTCTTTAAGCTCATGTGGGGGTCATTCGGTCTGCTCAGAGATGCTTTTGGCAATAAAAACGGTTGCAGCAGGTCAACCGGTGGGGTTTTTTTTTTTTTCCAGGAGAGAAGCCTCAAAAAGCAGGGACTCATTCATTTCCGGGTCCAGCAGCGGGGGCGTGTTGGAATCCGCTGTTTGGCGTCGCTGTCGTCCCCGGACCACCAGGAAGAGCCGGCCCAGCATGCTCTGCTCTCTGCGCTTGAACAAAGGCGTCTTTGGGGCCAAACAGAACATGGCAGATGAAAAGGTCTTTTCCTTCCCCGTTCCCCTTTTTTTTCTCTAAACAGCCTATGTACATTACTGCATGTTTAAACAGAAAGAACACAGCAGATTTACGGTCGAAGAACACATTAACTAGCAACTGCTGCCACTAACTACAGAGTCTGAGAACCTCCTGAGCAAGTCGGAGGTCAGAGAACCACAAAGACAACAGAGCAAATAGCCGACTGAGAGATGAGCACTACATCGAAGGTAAGATGCAAAATGCATTAAAAAAAAAAAAAAAAAAAAAAAAAAAAAAAAAACCTGGTCTGACTGCATCTGTGGTTGGTAAAAAGCAACAACATACTGACTGACTCCTGAGCTGGTGAAAGCTGTCCGTTAAGACAGGATGGGCACAACAAAACACCACTACGGCACACACACACGCACCACGACGCATTTCCACACACACAAGCACTCACACACACATCTTTAATAAAGAATGAGCTATCATAAACCAACAGAAGGTTAATGTGAGCCGACACGTCTATAATCCCAGAACAACAGAGAAGGATGCGTGCGCACACCCAATAGTCACAATTATGGATTTACATTTACACAATCCCAACCCCCTCCCCCCCGTCTTCAGATATTCACTTTTTTGTTGGTTAGATCACAATCATAAGAAAAGGTTTTATTCAACCGAGACAAGAACGAACCTAAACACAGAATGGGCCTAAAAACTTAAAGAAAAAACAAAAACAGAAAAACAACCACATAACAGTAAAACACCCTATTATTAAAATAACCTTTTACATTTGTTTAAAAAAAGATTACAAAATATAAAATTAAATAATTTGGAGTATAAAGGCACACATCTTGCACAGTGTATACAATGAAAAACAGTTATTTAAAGCACGGTAAGGACAGCTCACTGAGAGAATACAGACGATGGAGGGGAAAGGAAACTTAGTCCTGTAACATGCAGTTTTAAAAGAAAAATCCCCCCCAATAAGCCCATGTACATAAACAAACAAAATCAAACACCATCATTCGCCTTTACCACAGCACCGTCTTTCATTCCACAGCCTGGCTCCAATCCTCTTAGTATTCAATTTTCTTTTTACGACAATTAATTTTTTTTTTTTTATGACTAAAATGTAAAATTACAGATGACATGTGAAGGAGCGCATCATGATGGAAGCTTTCAGCACGGGTCAGAAGACTCAGGACGGACGTCTTTACTTGTTTTCAGTTGGTTATCAGGAGGTGATACACAAAGTCACACGCAGAGAAAACAAAACAAACCCAGAGCTTTCTCACTTACACACAGGTATATTGCATTTCCCTTGTTAAGACCGTATCGACTAAATGGGGTCGTATTTATAACATTTGGTTCCTTTTCACTTGTGCAAAATATACAAAAAAAACAACGAAACAAACAAAAAGCAATGACAAGTACAAAAAAAAAAGCGCTGTTCATAGAAACCACCAACGTCAAACACAGATAATCCACAGAAAAAAAAGGCTGTAATAATCACGCAAACGCTGTAAAACAGGCTGACAGCGAGGTCAGACGACGACCACGACGCTGTCGGTGTTAACCTCTGGACAACAAATATCTGGAGCCACTCCTCCCAGCCTCCCTTCTCTCCTTTACAGCTAATGAACACTGACACACACACCCCTCTCCACCGGCCGGTGTGCGCTGGTACGATGCTAGAGGTAAACTGCATTCCGCGTGCCCTGAACGAAAAACAAACAGTCTAAATGACGCCTGCCTGCCCACAAAACAACCCCCCCCCCCCCCCCCCCCCCCCCCCCCCCCCCACCCCCCCGCAGCCATGATGCCACAGCACGCTTCCTGTAAAATGGGGAAAAAGGCCCGTTTTCCAAAGCCCCGTGAACACAACCAGTCAGCCGTTGTTGGTAAACCCTTGCCGAGGCAGCCCTGGCAGAGGGAATGGGGGGGATCTGGGATCAGGCAGTTGCAATTCAGTTCAAAGAGAGTTTCTTTCTTTTGTTGCGCCGCAAGTAACAGAATACTAGCTTGTAGGAACAGATCAAAGTGCGACAGTAAGGATCTCTGCTCATAAGGTGCTCTTGGCAAAAGGGCAGCTGATGTTTGACTGTGCGGGCGGGAGTCGTCTAACTGGCCCCTCGGATTTCAACAGCTGCACATCCTTCCCTTTATTATTCTAAGATTGCTGTGCATTACGGAGAAGACCGACCGACACCGAGACGCAAACCAGTACGTTTGAATTTATCCGAGGGGAAAACGGCGTGCAGAGGGAGGGACCCAGAAGCTCACCGGAGGGGGGGGGGGGGGGGAGACATCCGGGAGCCGAGCGATGTGGCAGGAGCCCAAAAGCGGGAGGATCTGTTTGGCTGAGCGCTTCTACGACATTTGGGAGCGAGTTTGGCTGTTGGCCTATTGGAAGACTGCATCCTACTTCCTGAAACGAAGCAACCGCATTAGACGAGGCTCATGGCAAACCTCATCTTTACCTCCTCCTCCTCCTAAAGCCTTCTCGTCTGCTGTAATCGGGCCTCATTCTCTCTCCTTGTGTACGTCATACCCTCCCTCAAACATCCAAAACACATAAAGAGGTAAATGACAAATAAAAAAAAACAGGTGCTGGATGGTTTGTTAAAAAAAAGAAAAAGAAAAAAAAAAGCCACATTCCCATATTAATCACGATAAACAGCATGAATAATGTAATGACTCGGACACTTGCTTTTAAAAGCCCTCGTCCACGTAACGCACGGACACAACTCAAAAGAGGAGGTTAAATGTAAACAAACTATGTTTTGTTTAGCTGCAGAGTGGCAACCCGCTTAATGAGAGGGAAGCAAACAGTGAGGGGTGAGGAGGATGGACGAGGGAGAGCCGCACGAAGCCGCCACAGCACCTTGTTAATTCAGCCTCTGCGTGCTTTTATTTTTTTCATTCTCTTTTTTTTTCTGCCACTTCTCCTCTCCTCCCTACTTGCTCTCCCTTTCCCCACATGCCCCAGCCACTCCTGGAGGCTATGACAGAATGGTTGTGATGAAATCATAAAACCTCTTGGAGTACTGCTCGGGGTTCACCGTGGAGATTTCTGCTCCGGCCTGCAGAGGTACACATGAAACACAGGGCACATTTAACAACCTTCCATCATTTAGCCAGAACACATTTAATGTTTTCCTTTAGAAAAAAAAAAAACAGAAAAAAACCAACCAAATATTTTTCACAATAACAAATTTCTCAGGAGTATTTTCACAGCAAAGTGGTCCATGAAAGAAATATTTGGCCGCCTATACATGCTGTGTGTCTTTTTTTATTTTTATGATTTATTTTTTAAAATGTTTAAGATTTAAGAGTATTAAACATCACAATCACACACGAGCCTCTGTGTGTGTTTGTTTATGCACTAAGCCGATGATAAAGATCTAATCTTTCACAGTTGATATGGCTGAGATGAAGCAAGAAAGACAAAAATAAACAAACACAAAGCCATGTGGTGTTCAGTGTAGCTTAAGGGAAAAAAATTCTTTAACACTAGCATAAACCTTTTTTAAATACTGCTGAAAAATTAATTCTGTTTGCACTGAAAACATGGGTTCAATATATGACACGCCGGAGGCCTAATGTAATAATGTAATGAATAATATGTCATTTGTACCCCCCAATAACCCCCCATTTGTACCCCCAATATTCTGTTACGATAATATGTTAAAAGTCATGCTGCGTACTTGGGTTCCATTGTATATACCAAGAGTATGGAGGGGTAATGTAATATGTCCATCAGCGATTCTATAAAAATAAAATTGAAAAAAAAAAAAGAAAGGAAAAAAAAAAAGTACATACCCCGTGTTTGACAGTTTTGGCGGCGTGGGCAGCCTTCTTCTTGGCATCATAATGCTGAAGGATGTCTATAACAGCCATGAAGTAAACCTCCTTCCTGGGAGCACCTGTAGTTTGAAGCAAATGCACTCTAAGTGAAAATCTATGCATGTGCAAAGCAGCATCAGGAAAGAAAAACAGGACACAGCTGGATAAGTCTTTCTGTGTCATGCCTGTGTCATCTCACAGGTTTCAGACAGCAGCCAGTAGGGGGAGCTCTCAACAGTATGTGTCACTCAGCTGTAAGCCAGAATTCCTCACGCAGAGGGCCACTCACTGTCGTTGCTTTTGATGGCGTAGACGTCGATGGCGGGATCAAACTCCCCAGGTGAAAGAGGCTTGTTGCTGTCCAGCGTGTTACTGGGACTGTCGGGGGGTGTCCCGATGCCCCCGCCGTCGCTCTCCCCCTCCTCCTCTGCCTCATTGTCCTCGCTCTCCACCTCCTCCTGCTCGGCTCGCTCAACGTCATGGATCCCCACCAGCAGACTGTAGTCCATGAGCTTCAGCTGGGCCAGGAACTGAGGATGATGGAAGGAGAGGGAGGGGGGTTGTGATTGGCTAGAGTTGAAAACATTTGGAGGCAAGTGTTCCGCATCAAAAAAGGCTGAATACCTCCACATCTTTCCTAAGCTTGTCCAGGAACATTTTCTTGTTCTCCTCGTTGATGTAGATCTTCTGGCCGTCATTGATGAAGTCATTGTCCTTGTAGGTGGGCAGCTCCTTGGCCTGGCAATTAGTATCAGATTAGCAACCAGATAAAGACCAACAAAAGTACAGGACAACTCTGAGGGGCACCGCGCGGGACACAGAAGACCTCGGTGGAGATGAGACAGAAGTCTGGTGTCTTGATGAAACCTTTGGGATTGCTTCCTGTTAATGCGAGAATGTCCGATTGCTCAACTCTGATAATGAAGGGGGATTCTAAAGGGCACGGCAGTGTACAATAACAGGGCAGAGTCAACCATGTGCATGTTGAAATACCCCATCCACACATGAGCCTTTGAGCCTGTCTGAGTTGGAACAGTCTGTCCGAACAAGGCTCATCCCTTATAGAGGTAGACGGGTTTGACATGTTAACACAAGACTAAATATCAAACCGTTGCAACACTTTGATATGAGGAGTCTGGAAAATGCTTTGAGTGCATCTTGTCATTGCCAGAGTAAGGTCTTTTTTGACACCAGGACCGAGCCCAGAAACCTGGATAACATTTGCGTTTATAATACGTTTATTCAAATACTCTTTCCAGAAACCAGAATGTGGCTTACAATTGTATAAAATGTATTTGAATATTTTTTATATTAATTCAGCCCACAAACAGTAGGAAGGAGTTTCCCATTCCTCTTTTCATCTAAATGTGATTTAATATCCCCTTAACAATAATATAGCAGTAGTGCCAGCAGCCTGTGGGGGGAAGAGGTGTTATACAGGGAGGGGGGCGGGGGCCTAGTTCTGACTCATTTAGGAAAAAGAGAACAGGAAATGAGGTAACAGGGCAACAGCAGCAGATTAGCTACGTTTCAATGGCAGCAGGAGAAGAGCAGCAAAACACAACATTTTGTAGCACTACGATAAGCTCGGACAGGACGCACACATACACAATACAGCTCTGCACAAACGGGAAAAAAAGAAACAAAAAAGGGACATATGAGCACATATACATACAGACATAGACCTCCAATATGTTATAAGTATGGGATGCACCAACTGCTTGGCTGAGAATAGATGAGATATAAAAAGTGAAATGAAAAAGCATCATGAGGCTGAGTGGCCATTTCCAGAAAACAGCTCTGTCTCCTTTACACTTGGATCGTCGTTGGTTTCTATTTCAAAGTAAATTCTGACCAGTTTAAGGACTCTGCACTTTGAACTGTCACTCACTGCTCCTGCTGCAACCACAAAGACCACATAATGCACCTGGCTCTGAAACGCTGTGCACGATGGAAGTGGCAAGCAGGAAAAGAGAAGCGTGTGCTGCTGAGCCTGGTAAAGCCGTGTGACAGGTCACTTTCTCCACAACCTTATAAACAAATCTCATCTGTTCCCTGTGAGCTGGCTCGTAAATGAATGTTGATGTCTTGCTGACAAAGCCATGACTGTGGAGGATTCGTGAAATGCTGACACTGACATCTTCCTCAACCTTTACAGCACGGCATAATCACAACAGTCACTGGCCCTCTGCAACTGACAATAACTTGACCAGATTTCCTTTTAAAATCCTTTCAATGGTAAACTTTCCCTTTAAAATAATTTTAATGGCAAACCAGGCAAAAGTTATTGTGTGTTACATTCATTTCTTTAAGCAAAACGATGTTAGAGGAAGCTGAGAACATTATTTTGCGTTTTCTTATGTGATCAAAACTGCAAAAGTAAGCAAAACCGCAGCCTTTTTAAAGCCATTATGGCCGGCACTTTTTGGAAGGGAAAAGGTCAACTACAACAAAGCCACAGTGGGATCTGACAGAGTGCTTATCACTGCCACATCTTACAGGCCACATCGCCACGAACTGCACTAGTCCAGCCAGAAGAGTCCATATCTCAGACCGGCATTTCACTCCGGTTTTGATCTGTTGTGTTGGATATTTCTGTAGACTTTCCTTTTCTTTTTTAAAATAGCTTCACTGCACACCAGGAAAAAACATCCGCATATGTATGATGTTTTCTAACAGCTGCGGTCACAACACACAGGGGTGCTGTTGTTGTCTGACACAAATGTTTGATTCAGGTTACGTTTGAATGTTCCAGCAACGTGGGGAAGTTCACCCTCTGAATATTCCCACTCAACCATTTCCTCACTGTCCAACGTCCCTCCGATGCCTGTAGGTGCCTTTGGGTGAAGGGTGGGGACAGAAATGAAGTGCCCGGGTTAAACTTAAATGGAATTTGCTGACAAGCTGAGAAAAGGTGGCTGTAAATGGATGCAAGGTGAGCAAAATATGACCTTAAAATAACAGTATATCAGCCTGGAGAGTACGAGGAAACATGAAAAAAAAAGAAAAAAAGTGTCAGCCGCAGAAAAAAAAAAGAAAAAAAAAGATATTCCAATAAATTAAGATTGGTTTAATAGATCATGCCTGATATATGAGCCCTGGTTCTCTTACATCTCTTACGTGTTTCATGGCGCAGTAAAAGCGCGTGGCAATCCGCAGTGTTTGCAGCCTTTGCTGAACGTTACCAGATTTGGGCCGCGGGGGCACATCCTCTGGTGGGGGTGGCTGCTAGAGAAGGGGGTGTGAGGGAGGGACGGTAGGGGTGGAGGAGAGTAGAGAAGAAAGGAAAGAGGAAGGAAGTTGGAAGTAAAGGCAAAGTATTTAAAATGAAACAGAGCACAATAGATTTATTTTAATTGGTCATGGGTTGGGGGGAAAAAAAAAGAAAAGGGGGCATCACGCAGGAGATCTGCATGAGCAGTACACAGGTTTACATTTCTTAAAAGGTCTCTATTACATCTGCGCCAAGAAAGAAAAAGTCATTCTCTAACGGCTTCACCTAGTGTGAAAAAGTGTCTGTTTAACTATATAAAAAAATATCTAATACTTTCTAATCTTATTCCCTGTGTTAAAAATGAAGAGTTACTCTTTTTAAGAAAAACTCCAGACGACCTACATTGGTGTTGTGACTGTTTTCTTCATCATGGGGAAAAGAAGCAACAAGGCAGTGCTGTTTTAAGGAGCAAAGATTTGGGCCTAAGCAGAAAAAGGAAACCACTAAATTAGTTTGAATGCTATAAACCTGCACGCTGGTAAACATGGGATCAGTGAGCTGTGCTATATCTAGGGGCTTTTATGTTTTATATAAGGTGGAATAAAAATATCAAGTCCCTGCCACAGGGACTTGATATTAAGCCATGTGCTCTTAATGGAAACTGGTGCTGTAGGAGGAGAGAAAGTAGGAATAGAAGTACTGTGCCGCGGGGCAAAGTAAGACACCTGACGAAGGGGCAGGTTCCAAAAAGGGTGTTTTGTGACCCACAGAGGCAGCCTTTACATTTTCCAGGTCACAAAACAAACACTCAGAGTGAGTGAAAACATCAGCATTTTAAAACTTGTGGATCAGTGTCCAGGATGAGGGGAAAGGTCGGGATTTCTGTGGTTGACCAGAAAAAAAGTACAGCAACAAACCCCTCCAAGAGCAATATGACAGAGTTTGTGCTTAACTTAAAATCAATGGATATAAATAAAAAAATAAATAGAAATAAAACGTTGTCAAACCACTGTGCGTTTACTCTGGTTAAAGCTATGAAGAAAATGTGCCAGGTTTCTGTTTGACAACCAAAACCAGATACAGCAGTGAAAAGAACCGAGGAGTGTGTTTTCTGAGAGGAGAAACACGCCAAACTGTATGTGGGCACAACAGATCATGTCGACAACGTGCAAAAGAATGACGCTGGAGTTCATCCACATCGAAATGTGTTAGACATATCACTTCATAAAGGGTGCAGAGAAATGCCAGGTATCATGCAGACGCATGCAGAAATGGGAGAGCCATGCAGTCAGGAGAGCAACCTGCCGTGCTTGTTGTCTGTGCGCAGGATTTCCTTTTCAAACAAATATGCACGGAACATACGTTTTTCCTCTATCAAACGGCACGATGCTCTTTATCCCTCATGTCCGAGGCCGCCGACAGTTAGCGCGGCGCTCACTTAAATCCCAGCAGAACGATTTAAAGGAGACACAAAGGAGGAGTGGAGCATAACTGCTGCTCAACTTGAACAGGTTTGGAGTGTTTCATGGAAGAATCAGTCCGCTGCCGGGTCCTTGTTTTCGGTCTTATCTTTTGAAAAAAGGTGTGTGCCATCACATGCATTCACCATGTGTTTCGAGAGAAGTGAGAGAAGCGACACCTTTTGTCTGTAGATTTCAGATGAGCTGCGTGTCACTTAAGGTACAGCAACAAAAGAACGACGGCTGACAGCAGCGGCAAAGCAATTAAACCTCAGTGACTGTCAGTCTTACAGAATGAAAACATGCTGCATTTTTCTCTCTTAAAGTCAGCTCTTAGCTAGAAGGCAAAACGAGTTTCATCGGCAGATGTGCTGCGGGCAGGAAGGGCTCACACACTGGGTTCACATGTGTATGTGTTAAATCCTCAGATGCTGTGTTTTTGCACAGACAGTTATTCCTTCCCAAGGCTGCTAAGCAGACACTCTGTAACCTGAAGTGAGGAGGGAATCACAGAGCTCAGAGACTTCGTTGCTGACATCGAATGGCTATATCTTAATCAAAACCTCACAACAACAGAAGCGTCTAATAAATGACCGATTTAGAAGAGTTACTCATTCAGTGCAACTAGCATGGTTTCTGTGACTCAATTTGTTTTTGCCAGGAGACAAAATAAGTAGCATCCTCCACCAGCTGCCACACCTCCATCGCCATCAGTCACACAGACTCTGTTGCTTGTATGCAGCACACAACACCCTCCCAGAGACACCATATGACATGTTCATTCAGAATAACATTTCAGTCAGGATTCAGCATCTAATTGAATACCACCCTCCCCCCCCAAAAAAAGAAAAAAGCAGAAACCCAGACAAGTGAACTCTGCACACTGCCGTTCACACACAGATAGCAAGCAGGGAATCTAAAGGAGTTGCAGAAGCGAGGTCAAAGGGGATGGAGCAAAACAAAGAGGCAAGTAGCGTGCAGTGGCTGGAAGAGGGATGGGGGGGTGGATGAGGTGTTTTCTAAGAGAAGGTAATGGATAATTGGTCCTGTCATTTGCACCCAAAAGGTAACAACAACACACCATAGTTGCGTTAGTGTATTTGGGTGATGACAGGAAGGCAGGAACGCGTCAAAGCTGTGTTTTTCAAAACTCTGGAAACAGCCTGTTTTTCGTCTCACTGTCAATCCACATGGCTTTCAGCTGACGTACCGAGTTCTGAAGCTTACTGAGGTCTTCAGCCTGTTTCCTATTTAGCATGTTTGTAAAAAAAAAATTGAGATTCTGAGTGCACAATGCCTTCTTCTTAGAAATCAATGATCATGGATTACACCATAAAGTGATTAATATTGTTGGTGTGCTGTTTGTGTCTAGAAGCACCCCAAACAGATGTATTTAAAACACTTATGAAATGTACTATGTTCCATTGAAATATTCAGGATTCCCTTCAGACAGGGTTACAGTGTGGACCGGCTCTAACTGACTTCTATGTAGAGTGTTTATTATTATTTGGGCTCTTGTGTTTGATCATGTTGATGGTAAGTTTAAGGCATACAATGAGGGTTAATTTGCTCTGTAAAAGCAAATGTGTATGGGTATGTAGAAAAGTAGATCTAAGCATATGACATGCAAATGTACCTTTTCTTTGTCACTGGCCTCTCTTGCCACGGTGGAGCCCTGAAAAAAACAGATAAGAAAACAAGACTGTAAATATGGATAAAACTTGGAACAGTAGGCATTCAAACAATGAATAGTTCCTCTTTCAACCCCTCCTACCTTCAGATCATATTTTTTGTAGACGGAGAGGCGATGGGAGAAGACGTTGCGTGTTACAATCATGTAGGTCTCATCTCCGTCCACTGTGAGCCGGTACATCCCCAGAAACTGAGGCAGCAGCGTGTTACCATGGCACTCCACAATGAACTGACAAAAGTGAGAGAGGAATACAAATGTTGACCATTTCATGGCCGCTATGGATGCTGGTAGCCGGCACAAAAAGAGAGAATATATATAAGGAATAAAGATGAGTTTTGTGATGAGTAATGACATGATAAACGGATAAGACGGTAATCCTAAAACATCTGTACCCCGATGATTTCCAACACAATAACTGAATCTTGGATTTGTTTTTATTATCTAAGAAGTCCTCTTGTCACCTGGTGATACTTCTTTAGTATGTTATGCATCTCAGCCACATCCTCGCTGCTGATGGTTTTGATGACGTAGCGCTTGTCGTAAGAAGTATGGAAGCGGGCTCCACTGCGTCCCTGGGCCTCAATGTTCAAGGGAGCACTGCGAGTCAAAGAGTTCTGCAAAGACAGAGAACAATGACAAGTCAGACTAATTCTTTGAACAGATTCACATTTGTTAAACTTTTTGATTGGCTCCTCTCACTAAATACAGAAAATGTCAGAGGCTATGGTTAGCCAACAAACAGATGAAGTGAAATGACATTTGTTTGAGTGATCATTTAGCACCTTTTCCAGTTCAATGGGATGAGGCTCCCAGAATAACATGTTCGTGATCTAACTCTTTTTGTCCCACAACCTCCCACACTGCAGTCTAAACATAAAGAGCTTCTGACCCCTGCGCCTGCTGCTGTCCGAAGTCCACACAGACCCAAACAGCTGTGGCCCAGAGTGTGGAGCTCAAAGTAACATGATCCAACATCCCCTGGCTCAATGCCTCACTCTCCAAGAATTCCTCACCTATTGGCTCCCTCCCATCTCTGAGACTCTCTTGTTGTCTATTGCCCGAGTTGTGAAGTGAGAACTAACTATGTAGAAATCATATAAAAAAAAGTCTGCTGAGCATCTTTTTTTCTTTGTTGTTCGGAAATGTGTCTTTTGTCTGAAAAGCCAAACAGGTCTTTAGTCTGAGAGCAGGTCCACAGCTGTCAAAGTAAATTGTGTTATTGTGTCGTTACTTAATTAAGTCTTTTATCAATCCTAACAAATGATAAATCACTAATGGTGACTGAACACACTCAGCACTGAAGACATTTCACATTCCTGTGAACTGGTCAGTTTCTTAATAACCCCCACTGCAGCCATCTGAACCTTAATGTAAACACGTAAGAGGGACAGCTGCACTGCGCTGGGATACAACGACCTCCAGATTCTGCCAACTCACTGACTGCACTGGGAAATGGGGATTTAAAAGGAAGGAGTGGAACATAAAGGAAGAAAAGGCCTCGACACAGGGATAAAAGTACAGCAACAGTTTCAAGTCAAGACCAAATTTTTGGGAGAATAGTTGTGTTTTCTGGTTAAAGTCACACCACCTGGACTCAGATACATTAAGCTCTTCAAGCTTAATAGGCACTGTCACGGTAATCTAGTGATACAATAGTGAATAAAGACATTTGACAGAGAAGTGGCGGCAAGAGCAGTATCTCACTGTACCGAGAAATCTTGATCATCAATTCCAAACCTCTCCCTGAGGTTTCGGAACACCAGAGGGCAATACTCCTTGAACTTAAAATGGCTGGGCATGTTCTCCCTTTGGGTAAACAGAGAAAAAACAAAAACAGGTTACTTTGTTTATGGGTCAGTGTTGGTGCTGCACATGCTGTCAAAAATAGACCTTACTTATTGAAGAGGTGGTTGTCCACTTTAATTTTAGAGAAGGCCTTGAAGTCGTCTGGCATCAGCATGATGGGAATCTGAACATGGCTTAACTCATTTATCTGTGAAGAAAAATAAACAACTTTAGAAACACAGAGAGAAGCAAAGTTTTCAGTATTCACATCTTTTCACATTGTGTGTGAGACTTTTTCTTAGATCTGTCCCACCCCCACAAAACTTAACACTTTATAATAGGACAAACACACATTTTACAGCCTTTAGATTTTAAGAGAAGTATGGGGCTTTCGGAAAAGAAGTTTTCCAGAACAATCATTCCTTTCAGGTTTAAAACAAGAAGAATTAAAGTTCCATCTGCTCATCCATTTGTGTCAAACTGGATGAAAATAGAGAGTGCTATAAACGTATTTGTCTATCACCATCACAGAGTAAAAAAAGGTGGCCTGGCTTCTAGAACAGTCATGGTTGTATTTGTGTTTCATTACATAACTTTTACTATATAGTTAGAATGTTGAGAGAAAAATTACCTTTTACTTCTCAGAATAACCCCTCCACCTTGAAGAGGCTGCACCACATTGTGTTTTGCCATAATTACCCATGTGAGAAATACATGTCACAAACCACGTTTTGCCATTAGAGCTAATATGAAATTGTGTGGTGGTTTGTGGGTGTGACACCACAGAACATGGCTTAGCAACCTGTCCAGGGCGTACCCTGCCTTTTAGCCTGAAGGTGGCTTGGACACGGTCCAGCCCCAAAATTCAAGAAACAACGTGATGTGTGTGATTATTCTGAGCAGTTGATCATGAGCCTAACAAATGGATCAAATGGCTCAAACTTCTGTGTGCGCCACATGACTGGTAGGAAATGAGAATGAAATGTACATGGCGAAAAATTCAAACTACCATAGTCAATCTGCCATCATAAAATGATGCTGGAAAGCCCCACTAATCTGCAACATAGACCCGGTCAGTTGCCATCTAGGTAACAGAAGGCTGAGCGTGTCTTTGGTTTGTGTCTATGGTTAAATCCGATGTTGTGGATTAATGACAAGTTCAACATGGTACTCAATAACCGTGACCCTTTGCAATTAGGATTCAACAGAATGCAACACTGCAAGACACCTCTAACGCCTGCACACCAAATAAACCGCAGGGCTCCGAACACCTACGGCATTTTGAAGGAATTTCATCTCGGAGCGGCCATATTTCACACTGCTGCGTTGCGTAGAGCTGACATTTGTTATGACTCAGACACAGCTTGATAAGCATACGAATTGGGTGTGTGCATATGTATCTGTGTGTGCGTGTACGCATGTTTATTCGTCGTTCCCTGCTGGCAGGACTGCTGGCCGGTTGCTTTATTTATAATCTATTTATAACATAACATTTTGCAGAGCATATTTTTGTGTTTTTGCACCGTAGAGTTGGCTTACAAATGACTTATCTAGGTGTGTCCATCTGGCTCTAAGGATGGACGTCACACAGACGTAATGACTGACATGTACAGCTTCATTACAGTAATGAGAATTTAACAAGACATGTATCATTGAGGAAACGTGAATGCACCTGAAGAACACCAGAACAATTCAAATTAGTTCAAACTTGTTTTTGGGGGAAAAGGGACCGACTTAAATTAATTGTTTTTCTCTTTGCATCTTACTAAGGATTACATGTTAACCAGCACAAAAGCAGGAAGAGTAACCTATTTTATTCCAGCAAAATCATCAGATAAATCCACCCAGTTAACAACTCTAGCTCGGTCTCAAGTCACCAATCAGTGAGAACGTAGTTCATATAAACAGCCATGTTATAAAGTTAACATCCTAGCCTGTGAGGCACTCCTGCTGTTAATAACATCCAAAAACCTGTAAGATGGGTAGTGTTTTTTTTCCTGACCTTTAGGAAGTCTTTGTTGCCACCGCCTGTACACACCTGACTGGACTGGCTCAGTTTTATAAGGACAAACAATTAAAAACTGTTTATTTATTTAAGACTGGAGCTGGCAGCACACAGTGTGCTTGTACAGATTGTGGAGAGAATGGTAAATCCTCCAATAAAACAAACTGAAAAATGCTTCGAATCAAAATGATGGTCAATTAATGTAAGTTAAAGTCATTGGAGGCTGAGACTGTAAACCAACACAGAACTCTAATCTCCAAAGCACTAAAGAAAAAGCACTAAAGAAACTCAAAAGCACAAGCCTTACCCAAGATAAGTTAAAGCCTGATTTTCCTCTAACCAAGTTTGAGTAAAACTATTTTAAAAAAAAGTTACAGTAATTGAGCACAGCTGCATTTTAGGAACAAGACGGTTTACAGGCATAATAACAATGACCATTTGCAGCTCAAATGTGCACTTTAGATAAGCTCTCATAAAACTGTAAGCCTTCTCGATAATGAAACAGAAGCAGAGACAAAGATGTCCTGTAGAAAAATCGAAGACATCAGTAACGGAAGACTTCTTTAAAAAAAAATGGCCAGAAATGGACAGACAGCAAGACCAAGGAAGATGATGAAATGATGGCATTAGCGAGAGCACCTGGGTATGTTTGAGCACCCTGGTGGGACAGGCACTAATGATGTGTTTATCACAGTGATGTGATCAAACAGATGCAACTGGAACTGAGAATGGAGACAGCACCTAAGCCAACATGAAAGATGAACAGAGACTACATCTGATATTACTGACTTGAATGCACACATGCAGCTAACATAAATGAATGCCACGCAAGTTTAACAGGACCCTCCAGTTTATAAAATCACAATAAATGAGCCCAATGTTCCACTGCAGTACCTGATCTACAGGTGATAGTCTTACTGCACTTCTCAGGCCTTTGACATCATGCTTATATTTCTGCTTGATCAAATATGTGTGGATTTGCTCATTCTGCGGCAGCTATCAAACTTGCTGACAAATTTCACACCAGCACTTCCTTTTTGTCTCCATGGTGATAAAGACTGGTTTTCCGGCCCGGAGTGAAGCAAGCGTGCGCTGTTGCTCCATTAGACAGGAAGCTGGTGACAGCGAGCGTGCTCTGTCAGCATCGGGGTATTGCCTTCCTTTTCTGAACAATGACCTGATGGGATTCCATCAGTGGTGGGCCGTCAGGGCCTTCAAGGCCTTCTCTGAAGGCCTAAGAAAATATCTGAATCACAGACTGATGTTAATTATATTTTGTCCATGAAAACTTCAATTAAATATCTCGAAATAGTCTGTCAGCTTCCTTTCATAGCTTTCCCCCTGGTTGCGCTGCTTCCAGACATGTATTTTCACATAAAAGCATTTAACCAATCACATTTCAGACATCCTTTGTCGCTAGGCAGGGTCAAAGTCAAAGATGGCTGCCTGGAGGCCTTCACAATCCGTTCTGCAGGCCCCCCCCCACAGAAAATACATGTCAAGTACATTGTTGCTTCAACCAATCAGATGTTAGGTTGGTGATGCCAGGGCCTGCGCGAAGGCCCCGGAAATGCCACCGTACCCACACCGGCTGATTGGATAGTCAGATATCCAATCAGGGCAAAGCTAGCAAACAAACCGAAATATAGTTGTGTTGGTGTAATAGCTATCTTATTATTTCGTGGCGGATTTACTGTCAAGACCATTTTCAAAACGGACTTTTCAAGAAAATTAAGTGAGTAAAATGTTTTTTTCCTAAATAATATTGCGAGTTTATGAGGATATTATTGATGTATTTTTATTTTGTTTTTGTTTGTTTTTTTTGGGGGGGGGGGGGGT